ATTAGTGGATTATAAAAAATCTTAAAAAAGTACTCGATTTATACAAAACATCGATGTTTTCTTCCAATACATCGAAAGAAATCGATGTACAGTTTCAATATATCGAATCGAAAAAAACATCGATGTTTTTTCAAAGTGGACACCCCTANAAAAAAAAAAAAAAAAAAAAAAAAACGTCACCAGATCGTCGGTCCGCCTAGTGAGAAACAATTTAAAACCTTACAGTACAAGTGAGCTAGTTTGTACTGTCATCAGTGGCCGTTCAATTGCGAGATGCGCTTTTTGACAAATAATAATCGTAAATGCACACTAGTCGTACCTAGTTGCGTTGCTATTGTACAATTAGCAACCGGTTACTAAGATCATCAATGAACATGCCGTTCGGTTGTAATAATCCTGTTGTTAAGGCGCCTTCAAATTAGAGGCGTGAAGAAGCACTACAGTGGTGCCACTGTAGCGCGCTTGCCGTACCACTACTACTTTTTATACAATTTCTAAAAGCGCAGTTGCAGCGCCACTGCCGTTTGGCAGTGGCGCTGCAACTGCTCTTCCTCACGCCTCTAGTTTGAAGGCGTCCTAAGTCTTCATCGGTTCTATATTGGCTCACATAAAATTCTAAATCCTATTCTTTGTCTTACTACCGATTTGTGTTCATAATAATCTCTCTTCATAATTTTATTTTTCATACTTTTTTTATTCATACATTTTTATTACTAACATCGGAGCTCATAACAGTTAGTAATCATAATTTTTTTATCAATACTGTTACTACCAAGAACCATTTAAAATACATAATTTTTATTTTCAGATCTTTTTTCTTCATAACATTCATTGATCATATTGTTTTAATTAATAATGTTGTTACTAAGAACATACTTCAACTCATAATGTTGTTGTTCAGAATAATTTACTTTATAACAGACATACTCGTATCTTTAAAAAAATCATATATAATTTAATAGAGTAGATAAGCATGCAGAGCATGCAGCATGAAAGCAAGCATGCAGCATGCATTGGTATCTCCTCGTCTCCGGCGCTGCGGGATGTGCAGCCCTTCCGCCCTTGCGTAACGAGGCTCAGGCACCCACGCTTGCTTCCGCAGCTTCGGCTTTTTGGATCGCCATCGGCGCCTTCGGCGCCTCGGCGACCAGCCTCAGCCGCTCCAGCTCACCCGGGCGCCTGAGCCTCGTTACAGCGGGCGAGGGCTGCCCTCCCTCCGCGCCTCCGGCTTTTAAATTACACTCTAGGGGTAGGGCAGACAAGACTACGTGGAGTCGGTTTTGCAGCGATTCGTTTCTGTCACGTTAGTTTTGTGGCACAAAATATTGCCTGTTTTGGACCATTTCAAATTAATTTAATGTTAAAATACGATTTAATACGAATATAGACATCATGATTTTCAATAATATGGATGAATACACTTATGAGTAATAAATTTATGAAAACAAATATTAGGATACATCACATTTATGAATATTATAGTTATTTATTCGAATGATTATGAGTTTCGATCATTAGTATAGAAAAATATATGAAAACAAATATTAGTAAAAACTAAGTGTATGATTAGTGATATTATGAATATCAATGATTATGTCTTTAAATATGTAGGTTTTATTAAATTAAATTATTAATTATTCTATTAAATTTTTTATGAAGAATGATCATTATGGTATCAAATTGTATGAGAAATATTTTCGGACCTCCAATGATAGGAATTGAAAAGTTATGTAAGAAAATGCGCTACCGTCTTCATCACACACCACCAGCTTTTGACATTTCAATATCTATTCTACAGCATGGTGGGCAACCGTTTAGCTCGCTACGTGGTAGGCGCGTGGGAACCGGCTTTGGAGGCCATTTTCCGGCGCCACCCCGCTGCCCAGCTGGCATACACCGGCCGCCTCGACATCAACGACTTCACGCAGGTTCGTTCGTTTGTTCGTTTCAGCCAAATGACGTCCACTGTTGAACACTCACGCCCGTACTCACGATGCTTGATTAAGCACAGCCTTGAATAAAGCTCTGTGATCGGTTCGTGTGTCACCTTGTGCATCCACGCGCACTATGAGACCTTATAGTGATGTTTGTGAATACGGGCGTCAGCGTCAAGTAGTTCGTGACACCCAAAAAATTCGCAACACGTCTTTGTTACAATTGGAATAAGGTTGTATTTTCAACTTTTTTGACCACTTTTTGAGAGTCACGAACTATTTGAGGCTGACTTGACAAGGGCCTCTCCCAATTTCCATAACGATCAGTCTTGCGCTGCCTGGATGCAAGTACTTCCCGCGACGTTCACCAGATCGTCTTTAGACAGATATTTAGTAATATTTACTTATTTGTATTTGAGGTAAAATCAACGTCATTGTACGTACGATCTGCCACTTCCACTACGCGACTGTGCGACGGGCAGCCGCAGTGAATGTGCGACCGCGACAGCAATATAATTGCGCACGAGTAATAAGGATGGGTAGATAGGGTCACTGTACGAAATTCTCTCTGCTCGGCGACCGGACTTTATCACCTCTTATTTCGTCATTCCAATTGCATTTTCAATCAATGAATAAATGTTGTTTTATATTACCAACCCCTTTCAGGAAGGTTTCTACGTGCAGAAGCGTCTAGGCGAGTCGTTCCCGACTATCCAGGCGCTTATGGAGCAGAAGCCTCCGCACAGGGACCCCGTGTTCATCTGCATGTTCCACCAGCCGCCCTTCGACGTCGCCTCCGGGTTGGACATCAGATCGCCTCGTGAGTTTACACGATCCGGCTCGAAGGACCATTATTTATAGTAGTGTGACAAAGAAGCCTCCGCACAGGGACCCCGTGTTCATCTGCATGTTCCACCAGCCGCCCTTCGACGTCGCCTCCGGACTGGATATCAGATCGCCTCGTGAGTCTATATGATCCGGCTCGGAGGACCATTATTATAGTAATGTAACATAAAGAAGCCACCGTACAGGGACATCAGATCGCCTCGTGAGTTTACACGATCCGGCTCGAAGGACCATTATTTATATTTTTGACTTCTTAAGAAGCCGGTGCACATGGATCCCGTGTTGTATTGCATGTTCCACCAGCCGCCCTTCGACGTCGCTTCCGGGCTGGACATCAGATCGTCTTGTGAGTTTACACGATCCGGCTCGAAGGACCATTATTTATAGTAGCGTGACATAAAAAAGCCACCGCACAGGGACCCCGTGTTCATCTGCATGTTCCACCAGCCGCCCTTCGACACTTTTTGAAAAAAATCTGCTTTTAAATTCGTGTTTTTTTGGTTATTTGATAATTTTTTCCAAAAAATGCCCCTATAACAGGTGGTTTTTATTAGGTACTTTGTATTATTTTCTATCGTATTACCTTCGTAAAACCAAAAATCGCATGTCTCTATCCCTATCACAACATTTGCTATGATCGTTTGAACAAAAGCCTGCAACATTATTCTCCGCTGCAGGTAGACAATTTTAATTTTAACTAAAATGCTTATTTTACTTCGAAATCTTTTGTTTTTATTTGAAATCTAACTTTTCTTTATCAAAATTACAAATCTAGAGCCATTTTCAGTTTCGTTGTTAACAAAGCATTGTATGGCGCGCCCGGAGAGGAATAGTTCAAACGATCATTGCAAACGTTGTGATAGGAATAGAGACATGCGATTTTTGGTTTTACAAAGGTAGATAGAGAATAATAGAAAGTAAGCCCCTAAAACCACCGGTTATAGGGGCATTTTTTGGAGAAATTTATCAAATAACCAAAAAAACACGAATTTAAAAGAAGTTTTTTTTTTCAAAAAGTATCATTTTTTATTATTTGTTGGCCTTTTTTGTGTATTTTATGTATTTTTTTAGTATCGCCTGTTATTTAGCATTATTACTGTTTTTATTTTATCAGGATATACCGCTTAGTTTAAAAGTTATTACGTTTTCTGTACAATAAGTAATTGGAAGAAAAAAAATTCTAAAAAGTTTGTCACAGATCGTCATAAATTATAGCCTATATGTTATTTTGGGTTATAAACAATAATACTGTAAAGTTACATCATAATCCGTTCAGTAATTTTTGCGTGAAAGAGCAACAAACATCCAGACATCCAAACTTTCGCATTTATAATATTAGTTGGATAATAGTGTCAACCACTCAACTAAATACTACTTCCTTCTCGTGTATTTGTTTGCAAACTATTACTATAATAACGTACTAAATATAAATAAGTATACGTGGATATCTGTTATTGTCTTTCTTGCATAGTATTAAGAGTAACATTTTTCTATCATAACGAAATAAACGTAACACATGACAAGACAACCCTAGCGCGACGGCCGAGCGTGCGAGCGAGAGAGGTATGCAAAGCGAGGTACATACATGAGTTTACCTTCTGTTATATTTTGTGCTATTACTCACTGCACTCGTACGCAGTGTTGCCAACATTTTTAAAATACAATTTGGGTTAGGTTAGTAAGTAAAATTTTAGTGGTCAGACTTGAGTTTTATGAAATTTTAATTGGTTATCATCGATTCGATGTTTTAACACTGAAAACTTAAAAACATCGATACATCGAGTATTTCAATAGCTTTTCAAAACATCGGATCCATTCGATGTATCGCATTGTAAACATCGATGTTTTCAATACATCGATGTATATCGAATATCCCTAATCAAGGGTCCGCACAGGGTTGCAACCCCATACCGTCCGGCACAGCCACGATGATCCAAACATCATGTTGGTTCACTGACAAACTTTCAGCTTTATAATAACGAAGGTCTGGCGTTCACTAGCTTATTTACTAATGTATTTTTATCCCGCGGAATATAATTGCGGAAAACGCAGCGTGGGACGTCCACCCTCAAGGTGCACCGACGACATCATAAAGGTAGCAGGAAAGCGCTGGACGCAATCCGCTACCAACCGGGTAACATGGAAAGCTATGGGGGAGGCCTATGTTCAGCAGTGGACGTCCTATGGCTGAGATGATGATGATGATGATTTTTATCCCAGAACGAGCTGAATTCCTGCGTGATCGGCATCGGCTGGGTTCGCTGCGGCGGCGCGCTCGAACGGGCGATCCTATACAAGGCGCTGGCCGACCGCGTGGGGCTGCCGTGCGCTTTGCGCCGCGCCGGCAGTGCGCACGCCTGGTGCGAGATAGCGGTGGCTGAGTTGGAGCCGGTAAGGAGCGTTTTAGGACCATGAAGGCATCTTTCAATGCAGCAGGGAATAGTTCTGGAGATATTATACTTCCCTGCCTGACGCTTCATTGCGACATTCTTTCCAGCAACGCAGCGTGACCTTAAGGATTGCGGGAAGGTGCTGGATGTAGACAGCTACTAACCTTCCAGTCTGGAAATCATTGGGGAAGGCTTGTGTCCAGCAATGGGTGTTCTATTGTTAAAATGATGATGATGATGAAACATCTATTGCGTAAGCTCCTGCGCAATATTCGGCCGTCCTATACAAGGCGCTGGCCGACCGCGTGGGGCTGCCGTGCGCTCTGCGCCGCGCCGGCAGCGCGCACGCCTGGTGCGAGATCGCCGTGGCTGAGTTGGAGCCGGTGAGCAAGAACTAAGACATTTCCAGGAGCTTGAGTCTTACAATGCATCTGTGAACAGTTCCGGAGATATTACACTTCCCTGCAAAGGAATCGCCTGCTCATACATATACTCAGCCCGACATGCTTGCGACATCACCGGCAAGAGCAGCGTTTATGGTCACTTTTATGGTCAAAGGTTGCGGGAAGACGCCGGGTGCAAGTCGCTACCAACCGTCCAATCTGAAAGTCATTGGGGAAGGCTGTGTCCAGCACTAGGCAATTTGTGCCATAAATGATGATACCGGCGCTGCGCCGCGCCGGCAGCGCGCTTGAACCTGAACAGTTCCGGAGATATTACACCTCCCTGCTTGACGCTTCATTGCGACATTCTTTCCAGCAACGCAGCGTGACCTTAAGGCTTGGTATTTCTGCTAAAGTAGGTATTTCGCGCTGTCAAAATCTGCGCGCGCAATTCTTCGCCGAAGACAGCGCGCCAAAGAGCTCCCGCCACAATTTCCAGCTACATAGTATAGAAAAATTACGCAGTTGGTTAGGTTAGGTTGACTTCCTTCCCTTCAAGCGTCACACTCACAACACTTTCTAATACAAATCATATCCAAGTGATAAAATTAAAACACCTTTCAGACTTTTTGGGAATATATTCTAAAATCGAATAATAAATATAAAATATAACTGCAGAACTAAACACGGTTCAAAGTGGCCGTGGCGTCGCCCGATCTTCTAGAAGTTCTGCGCCGGCTTAAAGAATTTCAAGATTACGTCACCCGACCTATCGGTAGGCCCTTGGGAGCTTGAGCGATTGGAAAAACATTTTATGATAAGTTATTCTTAGTAGCGATTATTTAGAGCTTAGATAATAAATTATAGTTGTTGCAATTCACGAAGCTTTGCATGTGGTTAATAACATTAATCAGTAAACGCATCAATTTTGTTCAGTCTCTTTGTTTATTAATAAATAAAAATATCATACTAAAATTGCAGAAACATATTTGTTTGTATTGGTATGGGTGTTTTCTATCTATAATATGTATGACGTATGTACGGGGTTCTGTATCTAAAATTACTATGAGCATCACACGCGGTTACCTGCATACCTCTGTGCACTCATGGGAGTTCAAGCAGAGATCCTTAGAGTTTGACTTTGAGCGTTGTTTAATATTATAGTCATTACGAAGCAGACTGATGGGAAACTGCACTGTCTTGAATTCGAAAGGGAAATTTGACGGTGTTAGGGGAATTCTAGGAATAAATACAGTCTCCTCATTGAGATTGAGACATTTCAATTTGAGATTTCACTTGACATTGAACACAATCTGACATAGAGTTTTCAAACACTTGTAAAAATAAAAAGTAATTAAATCAAAGGCACTAAGTAGTATTGATATCAACTTCGAAGAAAATGACTGCCAAAATTACTTTCTACCCGTTCCACACGTCTTTCATGAATTATATTAAGGAATTGTTTAGCTAAATTTCAAGTAGATTGAACCAAGAAATCACTTTGTCCCATACAAACTTTGCCCCCTTTTTTCACCCCCTTCATTTCATGACCCCATTTCGGAAAATCTTTTCTTATGAGATGCCTACGTCATACAAAGAACACACCTTCCATCATTTAGGTCTCTACGATATCCGTCAGTCATTTTTATTTAGTGTCCGACCGAATATGGATTTTCAGCCGAAAACGAAAACGGAGCTTCGGCTGCAGTCCCATTTTCGGCCGAAAACGAAAACGAAAACGAAAATGACCTTCAACTATCAAATTTTTATCTGTTTCCGATGAAATATCCATAATTTTCGATGCTTTTACTTTCAAATTGTTTAAGTAGTCGCAAACAATATGAGAAATGCAAAAACTTCGAAAACCGTAAATATTTTGACCAAAAACATATTGACGTTTGATAGTTGACAGACGGATTTGGTATTTAAGGATTAATTAAAGAAAACCGACATTAGACTAAAAATTTAAGATATTTATGTATTTTAATAGNAAATCATTGGGGGAGGCTTGTGTCCAGCAATGGGCGTTCTATGGCTGAAATGATGATGGTGATGAAACATCTATTGCGTAAGCTCCTGCGCAATATTCGGCCGTCCTATACAAGGCGCTGGCCGACCGCGTGGGGCTGCCGTGCGCTCTGCGCCGCGCCGGCAGCGCCCACGCCTGGTGCGAGATCGCCGTGGCTGAGCTGGAGCCGGTAAGGAACGTTCCAGGAGCTTGCATCTTCTAATGCAGTTGGGAGATATCCTGCCTTATTGCTGAGGAATCGCGTAGTTATGTACTCGGCCCAACATGCTTGCGACATTCATTAAAGGCGCTGGATGCAGGGCGCTATCAACGCTCCGATCGTAAAGGCTTGTTACCAGCACTAAGCGCCCTGTGCCATAAATGATGATGATAGTCATCGGCTGTGTGCGAGATCGCCGTGGCCGAGCTGGAGATGGTAAGATACGATATTACGTCATTTAGACAGTTCAGGAGCTTGCATCTTCCAGGGCAGCGGTGAACAGTTCCGGAGATATTACACCTTGCTTTACGACTCGCTGCAGAGGAATCGCCTGCTCATACTCTGCCTGCCATGCTTACGACATTACCGACTCAGCTTGGAATAAGACAGAGGAACTTATGAAGGTTGCAAAAAGGCATTGGATGCTAGTAACTTCCAATCTGGGAGTCATTGGGAGCGGCTTGTGTCTAGCAGTGGGCGTCCTGTAGCTGAAATGATGAGTCATATTACCTGCCTGAACTCGTGTGTGATCATCGGCTGGGTGTGCCGAGTTATACAAGGCGCTGGCCGAGCGCGTGGGGCTGCCGTGCGCTCTTCGCCGCGCCGGCAGCGCGCACGCCTGGTGCGAGATCGCCGTGGCCGAGCTGGAGCCGGTGAGGAACAGTTATTACATCATTCAGACAGTTCAGGAGTTTGTAAGGATCTTCTAAAGCAGCAGGGAATAGTTCCGGAGATATTACACCTCCCTGCCTGACGCTTCATTGCGACATTCTTTCCAGCAACGCAGCGTGACCTTAAGGATTGCGGGAAGGTGCTGGATGCAGGCCGCTACCAACCATCCTATCTGAAAATCATTGGGGGAGGCTTGTGTCCAGCAATGGGCGTTCTATGGCTGAAATGATGATGATGATGAAACATCTATTGCGTAAGCTCCTGCGCAATATTCGGCCGTCCTATACAAGGCGCTGGCCGACCGCGTGGGGCTGCCGTGCGCTCTGCGCCGCGCCGGCAGCGCCCACGCCTGGTGCGAGATCGCCGTGGCTGAGCTGGAGCCGGTAAGGAACGTTCCAGGAGCTTGCATCTTCTAATGCAGTTGGGAGATATCCTGCCTTATTGCTGAGGAATCGCGTAGTCATGTACTCGGCCCAACATGCTTGCGACATTCATTAAAGGCGCTGGATGCAGGGCGCTATCAACGCTCCGATCGTAAAGGCTTGTTACCAGCACTAGGCGCCCTGTGCCATAAATGATGATGATAGTCATTGGCTGTGTGCGAGATCGCCGTGGCCGAGCTGGAGATGGTAAGATACGATATTACGTCATTTAGACAGTTCAGGAGCTTGCATCTTCCAGGGCAGCGGTGAACAGTTCCGGAGATATTACACCTTGCTTTACGACTCGCTGCAGAGGAATCGCCTGCTCATACTCTGCCTGCCATGCTTACGACATTACCGACTCAGCTTGGAATAAGACAGAGGAACTTATGAAGGTTGCAAAAAGGCATTGGATGCTAGTAACTTCCAATCTGGGAGTCATTGGGAGCGGCTTGTGTCTAGCAGTGGGCGTCCTGTAGCTGAAATGATGAGTCATATTACCTGCCTGAACTCGTGTGTGATCATCGGCTGGGTGTGCCGAGTTATACAAGGCGCTGGCCGAGCGCGTGGGGCTGCCGTGCGCTCTTCGCCGCGCCGGCAGCGCGCACGCCTGGTGCGAGATCGCCGTGGCCGAGCTGGAGCCGGTGAGGAACAGTTATTACATCATTCAGACAGTTCAGGAGTTTGTAAGGATCTTCTAAAGCAGCAGGGAATAGTTCCGGAGATATTACACCTCCCTGCCTGACGCTTCATTGCGACATTCTTTCCAGCAACGCAGCGTGACCTTAAGGATTGCGGGAAGGTGCTGGATGCAGGCCGCTACCAACCATCCTATCTGAAAATCATTGGGGGAGGCTTGTGTCCAGCAATGGGCGTTCTATGGCTGAAATGATGATGATGATGAAACATCTATTGCGTAAGCTCCTGCGCAATATTCGGCCGTCCTATACAAGGCGCTGGCCGACCGCGTGGGGCTGCCGTGCGCTCTGCGCCGCGCCGGCAGCGCCCACGCCTGGTGCGAGATCGCCGTGGCTGAGCTGGAGCCGGTAAGGAACGTTCCAGGAGCTTGCATCTTCTAATGCAGTTGGGAGATATCCTGCCTTATTGCTGAGGAATCGCGTAGTCATGTACTCGGCCCAACATGCTTGCGACATTCATTAAAGGCGCTGGATGCAGGGCGCTATCAACGCTCCGATCGTAAAGGCTTGTTACCAGCACTAGGCGCCCTGTGCCATAAATGATGATGATAGTCATTGGCTGTGTGCGAGATCGCCGTGGCCGAGCTGGAGATGGTAAGATACGATATTACGTCATTTAGACAGTTCAGGAGCTTGCATCTTCCAGAGTAGCGGTGAACAGTTCCGGAGATATTACACCTTGCTTTACGCCTCGCTGCAGAGGAATCACCTGCTCATACTCTGCCTGGCATGCTTGCGACATTACCGACTCAGCTTGGAATAAGACAGAGGAACTTATAAAGGTTGCAGAAAGGCGCTGGATGCTAGTAACTTCCAGTCTGGGAGTCATTGGGAGCGGCTTGTGTCTAGCAGTGGGCGTCCTGTAGCTGACATGATGAGTCATATTACCTGCCTAAACTCGTGTGTGATCATCGGCTGGGTGCGCCGAGTTATACAAGGCGCCGGCCGACCGCGTGGGGCTGCCGTCACGCCTGGTGCGAGATAGCGGTGGCTGAGTTGTAGCCGGTAAGCAAGAACTAAGACATTTTCAGGAGTTTGAAGGCGTCTTCCGATGCAGCAGGGAATAGTTCCGGAGATATTACACCTCCCTGCCTAACGCTTCGCTGCAAAGGAATCGCCTGCTCATACATATACTCAGCCCGACATGCTTGCGACATCACCGGCAATAGCAGCGTTTATGGTCACCTTTATGGTCAAAGCTGCGGAAATGCGCTGGATGCAGACTGTCCAGTCTAGAAATCAATACGGAAGGCCTGTGCTCTAATAGGCAATCTGTGATATAAATGATGATACCGGCGCTGTGCCGCGCCGGCAGCGCGTTTGAACCTGAACAGTTCCGGAGATATTACACCTCCCTGCTTGACGCTTCATTGCGACATTCTTTCCAGCAACGCAGCGTGACCTTAAGGATTGGGGGAAGGTGCTGGATGCAGGCCGCTACCAACCGTCCAGTCTAGAAATCAATGAGGGAGGCTTGTGTCCAGCAATGGGCGTTCTATGGCTGAAATGATGATGATGATGAAACATCTATTGCGTAAGCTCCTGCGCAATATTCGGCCGTCCTATACAAGGCGCTGGCCGACCGCGTGGGGCTGCCGTGCGCTCTGCGCCGCGCCGGCAGCGCCCACGCCTGGTGCGAGATCGCCGTGGCTGAGCTGGAGCCGGTGAGGAGCGTTTTAGGAGCATGAAGGCATCTTCCAATGCAGACAGTGAACAGTTCCGGAGATATTACACTTCCCTGCCTAACGCTTTGCGGCTGAGGAATCGCCTGCTCATGTACTTGGACTGACATGGTGGTGTCACTCTGGCTAGCGCAGCATATGACGTCTACTTATAAGGTGGACAAATGATCTTGTGAAGGTTGCAGAAAGGCGCTGGATGCGCAGGCTACTAACCGGGCAATCTGGAAATCATTGGGAGAGGCCTATATTCAGCAATGAATTCGTACGTACCATACGTACGTACGTACGTACCATAGTTCTGTGGAGCGTACAAATATTATGAATTACAAATCTAAGATCATGAAGTGTCATAAATCACATCAAAGTAATTTCTTCCCGTATCAAAATACATAACCCTTTAACAAGCCTAACATGATCAAAGTAATTCTTTTTGGACCTTAAGACAAGGGAATTAGGTGCAAAATATGATGGGAACTACCTATCTCATCTTTCTTTCTCAGGGGCAGCATCTAGACCAAGTAGAGAACTACCCAGCCGGTCTTCTCCGCGCCAACTACGTAGTGGACCTAGTGGAGGCGCCGGGGCGGCTGCTGCCTCGCGGCGGGCACGAGGCGGCGCGCGTGTGCGGGCCCGCCTGCGCGCCGCCCTACACCGCGCACCAGCTGCCCGACGTCTGCCGCTGCGAGAACTGATAGAGACAAGTGCCTAAGGTGTGTCGCTATAAGATCCTACTGTAATGAGTGTGGCTAACATATGATACAGCTGCGAAGCTATCCAAACTCCCTCCTTCCTAAATTTGAATAAAGATTGCTGTCACCCTGCCCTACACCGCTGTTAAGCTGCCCGATAGAGCTCGAAGACTGTAGCAACTGCCGAGCTGATCCTAGTGACTACAAACTGCCCCAATGCTGCTGCTGTATAATCTGCTCAACTTGTGTGATTTCACCAAGCTGCCCGAGGGCTGCCGCTGTGAAAGAGAACTGATAGAGACTAAAGTGCCTGTGGTCTACTCCTGTAAAATCTGATAGTATTATATGTGACTCACTCCATGCCGCTGCAAAGCTACTAGGACTTCATCCCTCCCTATCACTATACAAGATTACTGGCACCTTACCCTACTGCGAAGCTGCTCGAAGTCTAACGCTGTGAAATCTGATAGAAACAAGTGCCTGAGGAGTAGCCCTATAAGATCTGATTGTACTGTGTCTTTCCCCTTCTTCTACTCTGAGCAAACCGCCCGAATGCTGTGTGTTACAGTGTTACTGCTGAAATCTGATAGAAACAAGTGCCTGAGGACTGAGTGGCCCTATAAGATCCGATTGTACTGTCTTCTGCCTTCTTCTAATCTGAGCAAACCGCCCGAAGTATCTCGCTATGAGAACTACCAGCCGGCCTCCTCCGCGCCAACTACGTAGTGGAGCTGGTGGAGGCGCCGGGGCGGCTGCTGCCCCGCGGCGGGCACGAGGCGGCGCGCGTGTGCGGGCCCGCCTGCGCGCCGCCCTACACCGCGCACCAGCTGCCCGACGTCTGCCGCTGCGAGAACTGATAGAGACTGGTGCTTGTGGTCTACTGCTTTAAGGCCTGATTTTATTGTGAGTGGCTAACCCAATAGTGCGTAACTAAACTCACCCAATAAGGCTGCGAAGCTGCCCAGACTTCTCCCCTCCCAAAGTTACTGGCACCCTGATCTACACCGCGCACAAGCTGCCTGAAGTGTGCCGCTGCGAGAACTGATAGACTAGTGCCTGTGGTCTACTGCTGTAAGATGTGATAGTATTGTGCGTGACTAACCCACCCCATACCGCTGAGAAGCTGGCCTGGACTTATGGCTTCTTAACACTACAAAAGACTGCTGTCACCCTGCCCTACACTGCTGTCAAGCTGCCCGATAGAGCCCGAAGACTGTAGCAACTGCCGAGCTGATCCTAGTGACTACAAACTGCCCCAATGCTGCTGCTGTGTAAACTGCTCAACTTCTGTGATTTCACTCTCCATACAATGTCAACAAACAGCTGCCCCAAGTCTGCTACTGTGAGAACTGATAGACCACATACTGCCTAAGGAGTGTCCCTATAAGATTTGATTGGATTGAGTGACTTCTCCCTTCCTCTACTAATGTGAGCAAGCCGCTCGAATTCTACCGCTGCTGTGTTACTGTATACCCCCTCCTCTACATTGAGCAAACCGCCCGAAGTACTCGCTGTGAGTAATACCAGCGGATCTGAGGAGCAACCTGCCCGAAGTATCTCGCTATGAAAACTACCAGCCGGTCTGCTCCGCGCCAACTACGTAGTGGAGCTGGTGGAGGCGCCGGGGCGGCTGCTGCCCCGCGGCGGGCACGAGGCGGCGCGCGTGTGCGGGCCCGCCTGCGCGCCGCCCTACACCGCGCACCAGCTGCCCGACGTCTGCCGCTGCGAGAACTGATACTACAATACAAAGAGAGAGAGACTATAGTCTGGTCCGGGAGCACGTACAATTTTGTCCAATGACCCCAAGCTACCCATTCTTATCGCTCGCGCGTAATTGTATTGCTATCGCGCTCGCACACTCACTGCGTGTGCCCGTCGCACAGTCGCGACAGCAATATAATTACGCTGCTGCCGTAGCCGCTGCGAGAACTGATAGAGTATACAATCTGCCGAGGTTAGCCGTTGTGAGACTGAGAGAGACTATAAAGTGCCCGACGAGTGCCCCTGAAAGATCTGAATTGTGTTGCGTGCCACTTCCCCTCCTATACTCTGAGCAAACTGCTTGAAGTCTATCGCTGCGAAGCTGCCCAGACTTTCGCCCTCCTTAATAATATTACAAAAGATTGCTGTCACCCTGCCATACACCGCTGCCAAGCTACTCAAGATCTCCTGCTGTGAGAACTGATAGAGACAAGTCCCTAAGGTTAGCTAATAGCTGTTATGAGACTCGAGAACTGATTGTGTGTGACTAACCCACCTCATACCGCTGATAAGCTGCCCAGATTTCCGAGCTCCCTAATGTTACAATAAAGATAATTGTCTCCCTATTTTACACCGCTGCCAAGCTGCCCGAGTCTGCCGCTTTGAGAACTGATAAAGAATACAGAGTGCCCGAGGTCTGCCGCTTTAAGAACCTATTGTAATGAGTGTGAGTGTGGCTAGCTCACTTCCTACTGCAGCGAAGCTGGCTGGATTTCCCCCCTCCCTAAACTTCACAAAAGATTGTTGGCACCCTGCCCTACACTGCTGTCAAGCTGCCCAATAGAGACTACAAACAGCCCGAAGACTGTAGCAACTGCCGAGCTTATTCTAGTGACTACAAACTACCCCAATGCTGCTACACCGCGCACAAGCTGCCTGACGTCTGCCGCTGCGAGAACTGATAGACTACATACTGCCCAAGGAGTGTCTCTGTAAGATCCTATTGTAATGAGTGTGGCTAGCTCACTTCCTACTGCTCCCAAGATGCCTGGATTTCCCCCCTCCCTAAACTTCACAAAAGATTGTTGGCACCCTGCTCTACACCGCTGTCAAGCTGCCCGAGGTGAGATTACAAAGCGCCTGAGGTATTATATTGACTACAAACTGCCTCGATTTTGCTGCTGATGACTTGTTTGCGACCGCATCTACCGTACACTGCCAGTGAACTGCCCAGTCTGCCGCTGTAGATTGGATTGGATTGACTTGACTGCTACGCCCCCCTCCCCCTATACAGCCGGCAAACTGTCCAAGGACTACCATTGTAAAACTGATCGACTTGTGTGACTGCACCCCCCTCCGCTACATACTAGCCTTTGGCTTTGCTGCCATTTTTGTCTGTAGTACATTAGTACAGTCTTTATCATGCGCGCGGACTTTTATTCTTGCAATAAAATGTTTTTTTGTGTATTCTTTACTAGAGACATGAATGATCTCCATGCAAACTTCCAACTTCTTCAACTTCCCTACTTAGGTAACCCCTTGCAATTATTATTAATTTGTTGCCTTCGTGCTTTTAGTAAGTAGAACAACTCAGCCCTTCGTGAATAATCACCACGAAAAGTTGAGTTTTTGGGAGGGTGGTCTGAAAAGTTTCCGACCTCAACGTGAAGATGACAGCACACATCAATTAAAGTCAGGGAATGTAATTGTGCATCTTTTGATAGCAACACTTCAAAGTTTCAGCCATTTTTGACGCGCGGTTTTTATTTGAAAGTCGTTTGAGTGAGTCGATGTGAGTATTTTTGTGAAAATGGAAAAGATCGAGTAGGTATCGAGCTGTCATAAAATATTTGTTTTTGAAAGGGAATACCCCTACGCAAATCAAAGATGAGTCAGATTCTGTGTACGGGGACTCTTCACCGTCATTTACCACAGTAAAATTTTGGGCAGCCGAATTTAAACGTGGCCGTAAGAGCTTGGGAGATGATGAACGTTCGGGACGTCCAAAAACTGTAACTACTGACGATAACATCGCTAAAGTTCATCAAATGGTGTTACACGACCGCCGAATTAAAGTGAAAGAGATAGCAGAGGCAATGAAAATGTCCAAAGAACGTGTTTGTCACATATTCAATCAAGATTTAGGCATGAGAATGCTGTCCGCGCGTTGGGTGCCGCGTTTGCTAACGTCAGACCAACGACGTGTTCGAATGAACATTTCCAATGCTCTGTTGGCGCAGTTTAGGCGCAATAAATCCGAGTTTTGGCGCCGACTAATTACTGTAGATGAGACTATGTAGAAAAATAAAAATAAATTTTAAGAAAACAAATCTTGTATCTATGTTAGGTCGGAAACTTTTCAGACCACCCTCGTATTTTTAATTTATTATTTTATTGTGATACTAGCTTTCCGCCCGCGGCTTCGCCCGCGTGGAATTTTGTCTGTCACAGAAAAACTTTATCGCGCGCGTCCCTGTTTCAAAAACCGGGATAAAAACTATCCTATGTTCTTTCCCGGGACTCAAACTATCTCTATGCCAAATTTCATCAAAATCGGTTGCGAGGTTTAAGCGGGAAAGCGTAACAGACAGACAGACAGACAGACAGACAGACAGACAGAGTTACTTTCGCATTTATAATATTAGTTGGGATGGGATAATGCTAGTGATTACATTCTGTGATATTATGTATATTTTATGAAATATAAAGAAATAAAATTACTCTTCTGTGTAAAAAATAATTTTATTTAGATAAACTCAAGGCAGTTTTCGTTCCGTTCGTCACAATACTTTTCACAATAAATAGTTATTTTCCATATAAATCTTACATCAAGGCACGTTTTACGAATACACACAAATTGCACTGAAAATGGACGGACAGACAATCACAAACATTCAAGTAAACTTATACATACTTAACTAAGACGGAGATAAATATTCACATGTTTAGGAATTGCATTCAAAGTTTATCTTACGTATTTAACATGCAAAAAAATAGAAGCTGCCTTCATTATGTATATTCATGCATTTAAAACATGCATAAATCCAGTCTTGATTGTGCTTCTTAAAAATATGTTATTAATAACACTCGACGGCACATCAAGCGTTACAGGTGAATTACAACTGTTGCTCTTATTTTGTAAGAAATAAGGGCGATTATTTCTGTATCTGTAGTGTATGTAAAAAGNCACGTGTGACTAGCACATAAAAATATTTTTCTACCAAAACTTAAGTATATTTTCTAGTGAAAAAAAAAACTTACCAGAAATTAAGACGTATGCACTCGGCATATTATTTTTTTCA